CCCCACAGCTGGGCCCTGCTTCTCACTTGAGGTCCTTCCTACCTGTGACGGACTGGGTGGGGCAAGAACAAAGCACAGAGGCCAAAATAAATGCGGTGCCAGTGTGGTTTATTGGCTCATCCAGTGCCAAAGGTCCAACAGGCACCCTCTCTCCAAGGAGCTGGGAGCCCCGCAGCCCCCACACTTCTGTCTTCGTCACATGTCCCTCTTGGTCCTGATTGATGCCATGGCAGAAGCTGGGCCAGGGTGTGGGATGAGGCTGGGCTCCAACAGGGTTCTGCTCATACAGGGCTCAGTCTGCTTAGTGCAGGAAGGGGACCCTGGGGCAAGGGAGGACAGGCCCCCAGGGAAGAGGAAAGGAGACAGCTCTGCAGGGGCCTGTGTAGTGGGCCCTGAGGAGTGGAGGAATCCAGCCAGGGCAGGGTGGGAATGGGGTGACATAAAAGGGATCGAGGGCAGGGGAGGAGGTGAGAGGCCCCTCGGACCCCATTCTCTCATGAGCAGGTTCCACCGAGGCTCAGAGACTAGAAGGGAGGGGCGGGGGGGCGGGGAGGGCCAGCTGGAGTGGGAGGAGGGCACTGCTGGAGGGAGAGTTCTTTACCCAAACTTCCCCAGCCCTAGACCCAGACAGACACACACACACTCGTTCACACACACCTGGAACCCCACCTCCTCCGGTGGGGACACGGAGCACACAGCCCAACCCAATGCCTAGGAAAAGGGCCCCTGCTGCAGCTCCGGCCTGGCCACCCTGGTCACTGAGCACACACTGACACGCTGCCTCCATGCGCAGCTGCGGCCTGGCAGTCGCTGCCCGAGTCCCTCGAGGCCTTCCCTGTTTGCTCCCTTTCTCCAGGTGCCTTCAGGCCCGTCCTCGGTCCACCTGGGCTGTGGCTGCCCCTCACCCCCAAGAGCGGGGAGGGCATGTTAGGACTTCAGAAAAGCGAGTGGCCATGGTCTTCAGCAAGGCACTGGGCGGGTGGGGCAGGGCTGGAGCAGGGAGAGCAGCGGTGCAGGTCGACCAGTCCCCACCTCCTGGGGCAGCTCAATCCCCAGCCCCTGGTCCAGCCTCTACCCTCAACCCCCACAGCTGGGCCC